ATACCTCCGGAAGCGGCAGTTCTGAGTCTGGTGAAGGAGATAGTAGCGAATCCGCTTCCAGCGAAAGTACAGAAACTCTTACTACTGGTACAATAACAAGTCCTACTTCATACGGAACTACATACACAGGAACAGGTTACACTTCCTATACATCTTATACCTCTGGAAGCGGCAGTTCTGAGTCTGGGGAAGGAGATAGTAGCGAATCCGGTTCCAGCGAAAGTACAGAAACTCTTACTACTGGTACAATAACAAATCCTACTTCATACGGAACGACATACACAGGAACAAGTTACACTTCCTATACATCTTATACCTCCGGAAGCGGCAGTTCTGAGTCTGGTGAAGGAGATAGTAGCGAATCCGGTTCTAGCGAAAGTACAGAAACTCTTACTACTGGTACAATAACAATTCCTACTTCATACGGAACGACATACACAGGAACTGGTTACACTTCCTATACATCTTATACCTCCGGAAGCGGCAGTTCTGAGTCTGGTGAAGGAGATAGTAGCGAATCCGGTTCCAGCGAAAGTACAGAAACTCTTACTACTGGCACAATAACAAGTCCTACCTCATACGGAACGACATACACAGGAACAGGTTACACTTCCTATACATCTTATACCTCCGGAAGCGGCAGTTCTGAGTCTGGTGAAGGAGATAGTAGCGAATCCGGTTCTAGCGAAAGTACAGAAACTCTTACTACTGGTACAATAACAAGTCCTACTTCATACGGAACGACATACACAGGAACAGGTTACACTTCCTATACATCTTATACCTCCGGAAGCGGCAGTTCTGAGTCTGGTGAAGGAGATAGTAGCGAATCCGGTTCCAGCGAAAGTACAGAAACTCTTACTACTGGTACAATAACAAGTCCTACTTCATACGGAACGACATACACAGGAACAGGTTACACTTCCTATACATCTTATACCTCCGGAAGCGGCAGTTCTGAGTCTGGTGAAGAAGATAGCAGCGAATCCGTTTCTAGCGAAAGTACAGAAACTCTTACTACTGGTACAATTACAAGTTCTACTTCATACGGAACGACATACACAGGAACAGGTTACACTTCCTATACATCTTATACCTCCGGAAGCGGCAGTTCTGAGTCTGGTGAAGGAGATAGTAGCGAATCCGGTTCCAGCGAAAGTACAGAAACTCTTACTACTGGTACAATAACAAGTCCTACTGCATACGGAACGACATACACAGGAACAGGTTACACTTCCTATACATCTTATACCTCCGGAAGCGGCAGTTCTGAGTCTGGTGAAGGAGATAGTAGCGAATCCGGTTCTAGCGAAAGTACAGAAACTCTTACTACTGGTACAATAACAAGTCCTACTTCATACGGAACGACATACACAGGAACAGGTTACACTTCCTATACATCTTATACCTCCGGAAGCGGCAGTTCTGAGTCTGGTGAAGGAGATAGTAGCGAATCCGGTTCTAGCGAAAGTACAGAAACTCTTACTACTGGTACAATAACAAGTCCTACTTCATACGGAACGACATACACAGGAACAGGTTACACTTCCTATACATCTTATACCTCCGGAAGCGGCAGTTCTGAGTCTGGTGAAGGAGATAGTAGCGAATCCGGTTCCAGCGAAAGTACAGAAACTCTTACTACTGGTACAATAACAAGTCCTACTTCATACGGAACTACATACACAGGAACAGGTTACACTTCCTATACATCTTATACCTCTGGAAGCGGCAGTTCTGAGTCTGGTGAAGGAGATAGTAGCGAATCCGGTTCCAGCGAAAGTACAGAAACTCTTACTACTGGTACAATAACAAGTCCTACTTCATACGGAACGACATACACAGGAACTGGTTACACTTCCTATACATCTTATACCTCCGGAAGCGGCAGTTCTGAGTCTGGTGAAGGAGATAGTAGCGAATCCGGTTCCAGCGAAAGTACAGAAACTCTTACTACTGGCACAATAACAAGTCCTACTTCATACGGAACGACATACACAGGAACAGGTTACACTTCCTATACATCTTATACCTCCGGAAGCGGCAGTTCTGAGTCTGGTGAAGGAGATAGTAGCGAATCCGGTTCTAGCGAAAGTACAGAAACTCTTACTACTGGTACAATAACAAATCCTACTTCATACGGAACGACATACACAGGAACAAGTTACACTTCCTATACATCTTATACCTCCGGAAGCGGCAGTTCTGAGTCTGGTGAAGGAGATAGTAGCGAATCCGGTTCCAGCGAAAGTACAGAAACTCTTACTACTGGTACAATAACAATTCCTACTTCATACGGAACGACATACACAGGAACTGGTTACACTTCCTATACATCTTATACCTCCGGAAGCGGCAGTTCTGAGTCTGGTGAAGGAGATAGTAGCGAATCCGGTTCCAGCGAAAGTACAGAAACTCTTATTACTGGCACAATAACAAGTCCTACTTCATACGGAACGACATACACAGGAACAGGTTACACTTCCTATACATCTTATACCTCCGGAAGCGGCAGTTCTGAGTCTGGTGAAGGAGATAGTAGCGAATCCGGTTCCAGCGAAAGTACAGAAACTCTTACTACTGGTACAATAACAAGTCCTACTTCATACGGAACGACATACACAGGAACAGGTTACACTTCCTATACATCTTATACCTCCGGAAGCGGCAGTTCTGAGTCTGGTGAAGGAGATAGTAGCGAATCCGGTTCTAGCGAAAGTACAGAAACTCTTACTACTGGTACAATAACAAGTCCTACTTCATACGGAACGACATACACAGGAACAGGTTACACTTCCTATACATCTTATACCTCCGGAAGCGGCAGTTCTGAGTCTGGTGAAGGAGATAGTAGCGAATCCGGTTCCAGCGAAAGTACAGAAACTCTTACTACTGGTACAATAACAAGTCCTACTTCATACGGAACGACATACACAGGAACAGGTTACACTTCCTATACATCTTATACCTCCGGAAGCGGCAGTTCTGAGTCTGGTGAAGGAGATAGTAGCGAATCCGCTTCCAGCGAAAGTACAGAAACTCTTACTACTGGTACAATAACAAATCCTACTTCATACGGAACTACATACACAGGAACAGGTTACACTTCCTATACATCTTATACCTCTGGAAGCGGCAGTTCTGAGTCTGGGGAAGGAGATAGTAGCGAATCCGGTTCCAGCGAAAGTACAGAAACTCTTACTACTGGTACAATAACAAATCCTACTTCATACGGAACGACATACACAGGAACAGGTTACACTTCCTATACATCTTATACCTCCGGAAGCGGCAGTTCTGAGTCTGGTGAAGAAGATAGTAGCGAATCCGATTCCAGCGAAAGTACAGAAACTCTTACTACTGGTACAATAACAAGTCCTACTTCATACGGAACGACATACACAGGAACAGGTTACACTTCCTATACATCTTATACCTCCGGAAGCGGCAGTTCTGAGTCTGGTGAAGGAGATAGTAGCGTATCCGGTTCTAGCGAAAGTACAGAAACTCTTACTACTGGTACAATAACAAGTCCTACTTCTTACGAAACGACATACACAGGAACAGGTTACACTTCCTGTACATCTTATACCTCCGGAAGCGGCAGTTCTGAGTCTGGTGAAGAAGATAGTAGCGAATCCGGTTCCAGCGAAAGTACAGAAACTCTTACTACTGGTACAATAACAAGTCCTACTTCATACGGAACGACATACACAGGAACAGGTTACACTTCCTATACATCTTATACCTCCGGAAGCGGCAGTTCTGAGTCTGGTGAAGGAGATAGTAGCGAATCCGGTTCCAGCGAAAGTACAGAAACTCTTACTACTGGTACAATAACAAGTCCTACTTCATACGGAACGACATACACAGGAACAGGTTACACTTCCTATACATCTTATACCTCCGGAAGCGGCAGTTCTGAGTCTGGTGAAGGAGATAGTAGCGAATCAGGTTCCAGCGAAAGTACAGAAACTCTTACTACTGGTACAATTACAAGTTCTACTTCATACGGAACGACATACACAGGAACAGGTTACACTTCCTATACATCTTATACCTCCGGAAGCGGCAGTTCTGAGTCTGGTGAAGGAGATAGTAGCGAATCCGGTTCCAGCGAAAGTACAGAAACTCTTACTACTGGTACAATAACAAATCCTACTTCATACGGAACGACATACACAGGAACAGGTTACACTTCCTATACATCTTATACCTCCGGAAGCGGCAGTTCTGAGTCTGGGGAAGGAGATAGTAGCGAATCCGGTTCCAGCGAAAGTACAGAAACTCTTACTACTGGTACAATAACAAGTCCTACTTCATACGGAACGACATACACAGGAACAGGTTACACTTCCTATACATCTTATACCTCCGGAAGCGGCAGTTCTGAGTCTGGTGAAGGAGATAGTAGCGAATCAGGTTCCAGCGAAAGTACAGAAACTCTTACTACTGGTACAATAACAAGTCCTACTTCATACGGAACGACATACACAGGAACAGGTTACACTTCCTATACATCTTATACCTCCGGAAGCGGCAGTTCTGAGTCTGGTGAAGGAGATAGTAGCGAATCCGGTTCTAGCGAAAGTACAGAAACTCTTACTACTGGTACAATAACAAGTCCTACTTCATACGGAACGACATACACAGGAACAGGTTACACTTCCTATACATCTTATACCTCCGGAAGCGGCAGTTCTGAGTCTGGTGAAGGAGATAGTAGCGAATCCGGTTCCAGCGAAAGTACAGAAACTCTTACTACTGGTACAATAACAAGTCCTACTTCATACGGAACGACATACACAGGAACAGGTTACACTTCCTATACATCTTATACCTCCGGAAGCGGCAGTTCTGAGTCTGGTGAAGGAGATAGTAGCGAATCCGGTTCCAGCGAAAGTACAGATACTCTTACTACTGGTACAATAACAAGTCCTACTTCATACGGAACGACATACACAGGAACAGGTTACACTTCCTATACATCTTATACCTCCGGAAGCGGCAGTTCTGAGTCTGGTGAAGGAAATAGTAGCGAATCCGGTTCTAGCGAAAGTACAGAAACTCTTACTACTGGTACAATAACAAGTCCTACTTCATACGGAACGACATACACAGGAACAGGTTACACTTCCTATACATCTTATACCTTGGGAAGCGGCAGTTCTGAGTCTGGTGAAGGAGATAGTAGCGAATCCGGTTCCAGCGAAAGTACAGAAACTCTTACTACTGGCACAATAACAAGTCCTACTTCATACGGAACGACCTACACAGGAACAGGCTACACTTCCTATACATCTTATACCTCCGGAAGCGGCAGTTCTGAGTCTGGTGAAGGAGATAGTAGCGAATCCGGTTCTAGCGAAAGTACAGAAACTCTTACTACTGGTACAATAACAAGTCCTACTGCATACGGAACGACATACACAGGAACAGGTTACACTTCCTATACATCTTATACCTCCGGAAGCGGCAGTTCTGAGTCTGGTGAAGGAGATAGTAGCGAATCCGCTTCCAGCGAAAGTACAGAAACTCTTACTACTAGTACAATAACAAGTCCTACTTCATACGGAACGACATACACAGGAACAGGTTACACTTCCTATACATCTTATAACTCCGGAAGCGGCAGTTCTGAGTCTGGTGAAGGAGATAGTAGCGAATCCGGTTCCAGCGAAAGTACAGAAACTCTTACTACTGGTACAATAACAAGTCCTACTTCATACGGAACGACATACACAGGAACAGGTTACACTTCCTATACATCTTATACCTCCGGAAGCGGCAGTTTTGAGTCTGGTGAAGGAGATAGTAGCGAATCAGGTTCCAGCGAAAGTACAGAAACTCTTACTACTGGTACAATTACAAGTTCTACTTCATACGGAACGACATACACAGGAACAGGTTACACTTCCTATACATCTTATACCTCCGGAAGCGGCAGTTCTGAGTCTGGTGAAGGAGATAGTAGCGAATCCGGTTCCAGCGAAAGTACAGAAACTCTTACTACTGGTACAATAACAAATCCTACTTCATACGGAACGACATACACAGGAACAGGTTACACTTCCTATACATCTTATACCTCCGGAAGGGGCAGTTCTGAGTCTGGTGAAGGAGATAGTAGCGAATCCGGTTCCAGCGAAAGTACAGAAACTCTTACTACTGGTACAATAACAAGTCCTACTTCATACGGAACGACATACACAGGAACAGGTTACACTTCCTATACATCTTATACCTCCGGAAGCGGCAGTTCTGAGTCTGGTGAAGGAGATAGTAGCGAATCCGGTTCCAGCGAAAGTACAGAAACTCTTACTACTGGTACAATAACAAGTCCTACTTCATACGGAACGACATACACAGGAACAGGTTACACTTCCTATACATCTTATACCTCCGGAAGCGGCAGTTCTGAGTCTGGTGAAGGAGATAGTAGCGAATCAGGTTCCAGCGAAAGTACAGAAACTCTTACTACTGGTACAATAACAAGTCCTACTTCATACGGAACGACATACACAGGAACAGGTTACACTTCCTATACATCTTATACCTCCGGAAGCGGCAGTTCTGAGTCTGGTGAAGGAGATAGTAGCGAATCCGGTTCCAGCGAAAGTACAGAAACTCTTACTACTGGTACAATAACAAGTCCTACTTCATACGGAACGACATACACAGGAACAGGTTACACTTCCTATACATCTTATACCTCCGGAAGCGGCAGTTCTGAGTCTGGTGAAGGAGATAGTAGCGAATCCGGTTCCAGCGAAAGTACAGATACTCTTACTACTGGTACAATAACAAGTCCTACTTCATACGGAACGACATACACAGGAACAGGTTACACTTCCTATACATCTTATACCTCCGGAAGCGGCAGTTCTGAGTCTGGTGAAGGAAATAGTAGCGAATCCGGTTCTAGCGAAAGTACAGAAACTCTTACTACTGGTACAATAACAAGTCCTACTTCATACGGAACGACATACACAGGAACAGGTTACACTTCCTATACATCTTATAACTCCGGAAGCGGCAGTTCTGAGTCTGGTGAAGATGGCAGCGATGAATCTGGCTCCAGTGAGAGTACGGAAACTTTGACTGGAACAATAATAACTTCACCAACAACTACAACAACAACGACATCGACAACTACAACGTCCACAACAACAACAACAACAACAACACCCACAACAACAACTCCGACCACTACAACTACTACAACCACGACAACGACCACTACAACTCCTTTGCCCGGAATATGTGCTACTTTAGTTACGGGCGATGGTACCCCATGCAGATTTATGTCCTATAATTCAATGGTTATATTCAATGCGAAAAATTATTGTGAAGGTAAGTAAATTAGTGGTGTTGAAGAATTTAAAAAAATGAGAAAAAATACAGTTGACTGTGTCAAATCTGTGATACCCGTACGAATTTCTTATCCTATGTGCGGATAAATATGCCATAGCTGACTATGGGACAAACTATGACTTTAAGTTGCCGTATTACCATATTACTTTACGCAAAATTTTAGTACTGTTCAAAATTTCAATATTTTCTATGAGAAACGAAACAAGAAATTTCAATGATTTTTATCACATATAACAGCCCTAATAATACACTTGTTTTGACGAGATTTCTATATTATAATTTCAATAACTTGTGAGATGATGCCAAATAACTTTTGGAGTTGTATGACTGCTAGGAGAAAGACCGAAGCAATTTCAACGACATTATTATCAAGCACATTGGCCTTACTAATATATTCGTTTGTGTGAAATTTCAATATCACAGCTTTTATAGTTTCTGAGATATAGCCGAATAACTTTTCAAGTTGTGCGGCAGGTACCAGAAAAAGCCAAGAAATTTCAATTAGTTTAATCAAACATATCGGCCCTATTTATATATGTACTTGTGCGAAATTTTAATATCAGAGCTTTTACAGTTTCTGACATATAGCCAAATAACTCTTGAAGTTGTATGTCAGCTGCCAGAAGGTGTCAAGTAATTTCAACGATTTTTATCAGATACATTGGCCCTTCTAATATAGTTTTTTGTGTGTGCCACAGCTTTTATAGATTCTGAAATATAGCCAAATAAATTTTGAAGTTATATGGCAGCTACCAGAACCAGTACGCCGATCATGTCCAATTTAAATAGGATTCTAGCACTTACTACAACAAGTCATTTGTGAAACTATGGTGAACTTAGCTCAATTAGTTTTTGAGTTATCATTGGGACGGACGAACGGACGCACAGACGGTCAAACAAAGATAAATCAACTCAGAATTCGACGCTGATCAAAAACATACACATAGTCTATATCTCAGACCATTATTTCTTAACATTACAAACGGTAAGGCAAATTTAATATAGCCGTTCGCACGGGTATAAACACAGAATTATTTGTGAAATTGTGAAATTTCATGTAATTTGTTGAATATAATATAAGATCGGAAATTTTTATGTACTATTGAACAATGATAATTTGCGCATATGTACATTAAAATTATTTAAATCTATCTTGTGGAGAGATTTTATTTATCAAAACTTGCAGTTTGAAAAAAAAATTAATTCAAATTTTTTATACATTTCTATACAGATTACCAACAAATACCGAAAATGCCAGTTTCAAGTTGTCCCATAATGTGCGGTTGTGTTAAACCACCACAAATTCAAAGTTGGGGCTAGGATTTATATTTCTAATATTATATTGTATTGTATATTTTTGATGTAATATGTTTATTTGTATCTTTATATATATATGTAAATAGTATATACCTAAGTATGCCATATAAATGTTAAATTTCATCTTATTGTACAATAACAGGTTGTTTCAAATAAAGGCTGTGTTGTAATTGCGAAATAAAAGTGATTTTTATTACATATATGCATCTAAGATATTTAACTTTACTTTTATAAAAATTTTTATATTACAGGTTTATCATAAAAAGTGACTATACAAAAAAAAAGCATTCAAATAAATCTTATTCACGAAAACTCAACTATTTTAAAATCTGACATTATTTGAATTAAAATATTTATATCAATCCCAATCTCTTAATTTATATTATATGGAATAATTCAGGAAATCTTTACGTTAAGTTATTAACGATATCTTAAAAATAACTTTATACATATTGATTTGTAACATTATATTGTATGCAGTTACGTTAAGAGTAATTTAATGAAATAAGACATGTAAATTTGGACTAATGATCGCTTCTAACGGGAACATTATTCAACCTATTAAAATTAGACGACTGAATATTATTATTTAAATTTATTAAAAATATAAGCAAAATTTTTCATAGTCACTTCCCATAAAAGCATCATTCAACCCTTTAATTTAAATAGGCTGAATAATGTTTCTGTGGGAAGTGATCATCAACCTTGATTTAGGGACACTTCCCACAATAGTTTCATTCGCCGTTTAATTTTAAGCGACTGTAAGGGCTGACCGTCAGTCACGGTCATTTCGGGAACCTTTTTTGTAGAAAGTAATCGAATTGTGTTCCGTCAACCCTTCCCACAAAAACCGGCCAACCCAATTCAGCCAGTTAACGGCCAATTCCCACAAAAACACTATTTAAACTCATTAAAATTAAACGGCTCAATGATGAGCCTTTAAATATTGTCAATAATGATTGCCCTAATTTTTGTATTAAAACTTTATTAATTTATTTAACAATTAAACAAATAAATAATGTTTGACAAATAATCAAGTAAATGATATAATGTAGATACGTATTATATATAAAATAAATTAATTTTTTTCTATGTTTCAAAAAAAATTTTATATATAAAGGAACATCTTTTGGTTCAGTTTTAGTTTATCCACGTTATACGTTATACGTTATCATTAAAAAATTTAATTTTTCAAAAATGTTCTTAAAAATTGTAAATTTTAATTTTAATATTTTTAAAAAATTTTCATAAAATTTGTCTTTTAGTGTTTAGGAACATTAATGATGGCAATTGGACTTGTTATATGCATGGCATACGCTGAAGGAATTGATACAGAAGGAAAAATATCTCCGCATGCGATATGCTCTTTAGCTGGATGTGGCTAATAATACAGAATTTTTTTTTTTTTTCAAAAATTCAAATCAAATTAAAGAAGCTTTATGCAATTACTATACAAATAATGATTTTTGTATAATATTAAAATTTTGGCACATTAAATATACTCGTATTACATACATTTTATTTAAATGTCAAAACAAAAATTTAATATGACTGTCTTTTATTTATATAAAAGTGTTACTTATTTATATTAAATATAAATAATTTATATTTATATATGCATACATATTCATACATATGAACTACAGATTATAATCACTTACAGAAACTTATTTGAGTGATTAATTTTTTTAAATAAATATTTTCAAATACACAGAATAATATCTAACTGTTAATACAAAAATAATTGTTTAAAAGCGTGAAATATTAGCTTTCATAAAAACATGAACGCGTCTTATAAAAATGCTTTTATAAGATTACATAATACAATACAATTGTTATATTTTTTTAATTTAGGTTTAAAAATTTTAATTGTAATACGTCACTAATGTAATTTATTACAGTCACATTCCCATTCTCATTTAACAGCTAATTAAATTAACGGCTTTTCAGGTACTTTCTCGGATCAATGCATGTATATTTGCCAAGTCTTTTATTTTTATAATGTCAAGAATTAAATACGTGCATTCTAGCGTGCATACCTAATTAATAGGTGCATGTATATTAATATTTAGGTTTTAAATTTGAAATTTATCACAATTCCAAAAAATATGAGATGAAATTTAGATTATGAAGTCTATGCTTCTTTTAATATAATTAATTATCAATTATAATATATAATTATACATTTTGTATAATTTAACAAAAAAAAAAATTTGTATTTATAAATAATGATGATTGCATATGTACTCGTATATGAACGAATGTAAATATATTATTATTATTTTTTTTTAATTATTTAATATTTAAATAATTGTTTAATATTAGACGAATATAAGTTATTTGATTTCTATATGTACCTATATATATTTCTATTTTAAAAAGTATATTCATAAAATTTATTTGTTCAAAAAATAAAAAATCTGCTATAAAAAGACGTTTTATTTTTTTATTCGTTTCAATATCATTTCATTAAAGAATATCGATGATAATTTTATTTTTGAAAAATGTTCATAAAAATTGTAAGATATTTTTTGTTATAAAATTTTAAAATTTTTTTATTTTTAATTATTTCTTTTTTCCTTTGTTTTTAATTCAATTTTTTTTTCAGTGTCTAACAACTTTGGTAGTAATAGTTTTTTTTTTATGTACAGTATATGTGAAAGAAATTAATGCAGAGGCAAAAATGAATCGTGCAATGATATGCACCATATTAGGAGGATGCGGAAAATGATTTTTTAATTATATAATTTATTTCTTATGTGTTTATATCGAAATTTTGAATTGAAACAATATTGAAAAAAATAAACCATAAAAGTTTAATAATAATAAAATTAAAAGAATAAAATTAAACAAAAAATATAATTTTTCTCACAAATTTTTTTAAACGTTCAGACGGGAATCATTGGTTTTTTTTTTTTTTATAAAATATTGGAAAGCAATACGGATATTTTGATTAAAATTCAAAATTTAATTTTATGTTACATATGCAACATAATTTTAATCATTAGAATTGCTGGAATATGCTATTTCAAAATAATTAATAGCATTTAGCAACAAATTAATTCTTTTTTATTCCAAAACTAAAGTAATAGTGTTGTGTAACAATGCCGCAGCACACATATTCAAAATCTTACTCTATAAAACTATATTAAATGAACAAATACTTCTAAACTAGAGTTAGCATTCAAAACAAAAAAAAAGTCTTTAAAAAATTTTTTAGAATTTCAAAAATGCCACATTTTTCGAATATGCTTCTTTTTTAGTAAATATTACACTTTTGATTTATCGAACATGCTTTGCATTGAGATCTAAGCTAGAACTGAATTTTTAAAAATCACTTAATTAGAATATGGATTTCTGAAATTTTATTCGTATAATTCGATGATTAACACGAAATTCTCGACTTTTTATATTTAAAAAAAAAAAAAAAATTAAAAAATTATTTATATTTTTTTTTTTCATTCTGTAATTTATTTTTGAAAACTAATATTAATTTTCTTTTTTAATAGTAATTTTAATAGTTAATTTTAATTTACAATTTTTCCTTAGGCCTAAAATAATTTATATAATAATGTATATATGTATGTATATATACTGAAGTAGTATTTTGCTCTTTTGTTTTTCTTATTATTTTTTTTTTTTGTTTGTTTGTTAATATTATATAATATAATTAACAAATTAAAATTGTTTTTTTTTTTTTATAGGAATTTATTTATTTTTTTTTTTTGAAATTTTTTTTTTGTTTTTTTTCTTTTCTACATGGATATAAAAATAAATTTCTTTTTGTTTTTCTTTTTTTAAATTTACTCTCTGATTTATGCATACTAATATAAATATGAATATAAATTTTACATAATATAATAATTTGAATAATATAGAAGTATATTTTATAATATGCAATTAATTATATTTCAATTAACATTTAATTAATATACGCACATACAAGTTATGTTGTATTAAATTTTATGTATATTTTTATTTTATTTTTCTATATTTAAATACCATAAAATAGGCAAGCAATACTCATATTAAATGCTTATTAATTTATACATAAGATCTTAAAGAATACTTTTTTGTTTATTTGCTTTTAAATTTTTTTTTGAAAACTAAATTAGAAAAATGTTTTGGAAGAAAATATTTCTTGAAATAGAAAAAATACAAAAAAAAAAAGAGAACAATAAATAAAAAGCTTTAATTAATAATTTAATTTTAAATAAATTTTAAATTTACATTTAATAGAAGAATATTATATTTTTAATTAAATAAGAGACCAAAGAAATATTTGAATTTTATTATCAATATATTATAAAAGTATAAATAAGATAATTATTAAATTTGTTTATATAAATATATAAAAATATATTTAAATATTTAAATTATATTTAAATATAATTTTATTAGTTAACTAGTTTTTTTTTGATAATATACAAAGTAAATTCGTAAGAAATAAATTGCTCAATTATTATTTTATTTTCTTTAAATATAATCAATTTTTTTTTTCTTAAATATTTGGTATATAAAACAAATAATATTATTAAATAAGAATGGAAAAAAAAGTATTTTTCATTGGAAAAAAAATAGCAGCAAAATAACTTAAAAAAATTCTTATAAATTTTATTTATTGAATATAAAAAAAAAATTAAATGAAATTATAATATAAAAAGTATTAATCCAAAAATATTTTATATTTAAAGAATTTTAAAAAAAAAAAATTATATTTTTTCACAAATATGATTTATGTATTTGTTTTTTCTTTTCTAAGTATTTTCATTATAAATTTAAAAAAAAAAAAAAGGAAACAATTTCCGATAACAAGATTATGAATGATTATTTATATTTTAAAAAATTTAGTATATTATTAACAAATTATAAGCTAATCGGAGACGATTGACTTGGTTTGGTTTATTTTGTTTGTAATCAAAATTAATATATTTTGGTGATATTCAACGAAAAATTTATATTGAATTTTATTCTTATCTAATTAAGATTTCTCATATATTAATTTTTTTCCATTATATTGTGTAATTTAAATTATTTAAATTGGAATATTAAATTTTAATGATTAAGGTAATTAAAAAGAAATTAATTCAATTAAAAAAAATAATATTGAAAATAATTTAAATACATTTTAATTTACAATTTATCTATATTATGATACAATTTTATTATGTTTATTTATGAATTGTAAATAATAATTTGCAAAAAAAATTATGTATAAAATTTATTTCGAGGGATTAAATTTTAAAATATTATAATTTCAAGAAATTTTTAAAATTAAAATAGAAAAGCATGAACAACAAAAAAGAAATATGGATTTTGGAATACAATTGCAATTATATTATGTAAATAATTAATTGATAATAATAATTAATTATAATAATAATTAACCATTTAATTATCACCAATTCAATTATAAATATTCAAAAATTTCTTTTATATCATACATATTTTTTTTTTTTTTACTTTTTACATATTTTTAATTTTTTGTTTTAATTTAATTTTTGTTTTAATTTTTATTTATTTCTAAGAATAAATATAATATAATTATAATGTTGAGAATCGGTTTTTCTTCTTCTTAAAAAATTTCAAAAAAAATTTTAATTATTATATACAAATGTAAATTTCATCGAAAAAACAGAAATTTACTTTCTTTTTATTTTCTATTTTACACAATTGATAAAAAATTTATAAAGAAAAATTTAAAAAAAAATTGTAATAATTAAATTATTAATTTTAAAATTGTAAATTATTATTTTTTCCAATAATAAATTTTTTTTTTTTATTTTTTACTCCATTTAAATGTAATATTTAAATTTTCTAAATGCCTAAAAAAAACTTTTGCAATGTATAAGTTTTTTATATTCCTTTTTATATTATTAAAATTTTACGGTAATCAAGATCGTATAAAATTCATTTTATTTTAAAATTAAAATTTTGCAGGATTAAATTATTTTTATTATTTACATTTATATTTCTTCAAAATACATTTAATGTATTTTATATAATATTCCAATTGTTTAAAATAAAATATTTTGAATTTAATTAAAAATTGAATTGAAATTTAATCACAAGAGAAAAGAAAGAAAATTTTGTAAATTTTAGAATAAAAATTTAAAAGAAAAAGTAAAAAATTTAATATTGTGATTGAAATTTATAAATTATTAGAAAAAAGGATCAACTATTAGAGAATTTTATTAAAGTTATTTGTAATTATAGAAAATAAATATTGTAATGTTTGTGTTTTTTTTTTGGATTCAAAGTTAATAATTTTATTAAATTAATAATTGTTTCCAACAATATTTATTTATTAAAATAATAACTAATTTTTTATTATTTTTTTTTTATTGTTCTTTATTTTTAATTTCTGTTTTCTCCTATTTTCTTTTTTTTGTTATTTAAATATTAATAGCTTTTGATTTTGAAAATTATTTCAGGTTTTGGTATTAAACAAACGTTTATAACATTTTTTTCTTTCTTTTTTAAAATTAATATTATTTATGATTAATTAAATATTTAATTAAGCATGCACTATATATAATGCGATTTTGACTATATTTTTATTAGCTTTTTGTTTTTTTTTCCTTATTTCTCTGGTATATTTTTAATAATAATAATAATAATTATTAGTTAATAATAATAAAACGTTTTTTTTTTTTGTTTTTTATTTATTTTGTAATTAAGATTTTAATGCAAAATTTAATAAATAGGTTTTTATTTCATTTTATTTTAAATATTCTAACAAAATACGTATCCTTGCCATTTTTATATGAAATACATTTCCTGATATTTTGTGTTTTTTGTTATGTGAAAAATATTTAATTATCTTTTAAAATTTTTATGTAATTATTTTGTAAGGAAATTTTTATTGAAAAAAAAAAAATGTATAATAAAAAGTATCTAACACTGAAAACAGAAAAAATTAATTATAATTTTTGTTTTATTCTATTGCTAAAGATTTTTAAAAATTTTTTTTTTGTGTTTGTTTAGCTCCTTTTTAATTTAAAATTGAATAATACAATTTGTTTTCTTTTTTTATTTTTGTTTTTTGTAGGAACTAAAAAATTCTAGCTAACAAGCTATTTTTTTTTTTGTATTTTGTTACTATTTTATATTTAAATATTATTAAATTTATAAACCACATCGAAACATAAATTTTAAATTTAATTTTTTTTTTTGTTTTATATTTTATTTTAGTTTTTATTTCAATATTAATTTCAATAAAAGTTCTTGTAAAATAGCAATTTAATGCATATTATTGAGATATTACACATTCATTTTGTATTTCTATAAAAGAATATTTTGTATATTTAAAAAAAAAAAAAGAAAAATTATCAAATTACTAAATAATTTTTAAAATATCAGCTGATAGATTTATCACCTACCCTTTATATGAAGTTGCTGATAGATTTGTAATGAAAAACTATAAAGTTAAATTGAAATTTATTCTTTTCTTTTAAATTATGTAAGGTAGCCTCTTATTTATTTAAAATAATTAAATCACCCCATTATAAATTTATTTCATATCCAAAAATTATTATAAATTTCACGGAAATCAAGAAAAAAAATAAAAGAGATATTATTTGAAAATATTTAAATGCTTCTTTTATATTACTGATAAAATTTTTCATTTTAAACTTTTAGTCAATAAAATTATTTTTTATACACAGAGCAGTTACAATATTCAATTGAAAAAATATAAAATAAAAAAAAAATATTTTGTACAGAATATTGTCTTATAATTTATGTATTGTATACACGCGACTTTATTTTAATTAAATTCAGAAATTTAAGTAATGCAAAAGAAAAGAGTAAAAAAAATAGTATTTTAAAAAATTTTATTGAATTTTTCCTTTGTAAAATATTTAAGAAAAAATTTCATGTTAAATAGAAGAATTTTTAAGCTCAGCTTAAAAAATATAAAAAAGCAATTATTATATATATATATATATACTTCTAGAATATATAAAACGTAGCAAGTTTATTAATAGTAATTTTTTTTAAATATAGAACTATGTATATACAAAATATTTCAAAATGAAAAGTTTACACAAGTAAATTTTTCTTTTTACTTTTTTTTTTTTGTTTTTTTTTTGTTTTTTTTGTCTTTTACAATAGTATATTTTTTTCCCATTCTTAATCAGCCTTATGTTTTAATTTTAAATCTTTTCAAAAAAATTTTGATATTTTAATCATTACCTTAATTTGTAATATCACTATTTTTTAGATCTCTTTCACGAAAAAATCCTCGTTCAGTTTTACATTCACGTATAGTAACTGTTTCTAAATTGACTGTAACATCTGTAATAAAAACTTGATCAATAAATTTACATTTTGGTAGCCATAAACGTGGTGGTGCAACATTTGGTGAATGTGGTGCTTGTGGTGCAGGTATTATATTATTTTCTCGAGATTGTTTTTTATCCAATATTGATAAATTATTATCATTAACATTTTGATTTACGCCTCCTTTATTGTGATGTTGATTTTGTTGTTGTAACTGTTGCTGTTGATGTTCATTTTGTATTTGTGATGGTTCATTTTCTTCATTTTCTTCTTCTTTAACAAATGATTGTTCGGATATTGTTTTTTGTTCTATTGGAATATCTTGTTCTGGTCTTGATGCAGGTGTTTCTGGTGATAATGGAGCTGTATTATGTGTTGGTGTAGATACTGGTGCTGCTGATGTTTGCTGATCAATACAATGAATTTTTGATGATGGTGGACCATCTGGTGATGTTTTTATAGTAACACCAATTTTACCAGATTCTTTTAAAACTTCAGCTTTTCGTTTTGTACCGATAGCTAAATCTTTTCGACTTAATGGCTGATCTTCACTACTACTTGAGTTTGAATCATTATCACCATTTATTGGAGATTCAGATCTTCGACTAGACAGCAAATTATTAGTATTCAATTTATCAATTTTTGATTTGGAATCTTTTTTCTTTGTAATTTCTTTTTCATTTATTGCCATATCCTTTTCTGATTCCGCGTCAACTTCCTCATCTTCATCAGTTTCTGTTGGATCCGGATCTGGTTCTTTTTCTTTCTTTTTAGGTCCACGTTTTGATGGTGTTCCTGTACCTCCTCTTAAACTTTGTTCGTATATGTCGATTAAACGACGATCCAAAATATTTTCTTCTGGTTCCCATGTATTATATCTTTGATTCCAACCTTTCCATTTGACCCGATACTCAACCTTTCCCTAAAATAAAAAAAAAAAAATACGATTTGTTTTTAAATATTTCAATTTTATGTATATGTATGTAATTAAAAATTTAAATTAAAGACAAATAATTGCTACATATTGCAAATATTTGGAAATTAAGGAACTTTTCAAATAAAATATAGATATGACAGTATATACCTACTAGTATAAAATATATGGGGCACATTATATCAATTGAAATATTGGAACAAAATATGAATTGCACCAGTTTATAAGAAATTTGCGTAGGATTTGTTTATAAACACTAAATAGAAATACAAGATTAACTAATGTGTACATATTTTATTAAGTATATACAAAAATTGTTGGTATTTACGTCAAATGATTTACTATTATATTTACAGTATTAGACGCAAAATTTTTATGACGTAATTAGAATTTTATATAGTATGAACGCGGTAAAAATAATAAAATTAATGCTTATGGGAAGTTTTTTAACATATAAGACCGCATCTATCAATTTATAAAACTTTTATTACCTTGCGAACCCGTTTTAATATTATTCTTTCAGCTGCATACACCCTATCATCACCACTTCCCATGTTCATTGTAAAGTCTTTTTTATTTCCACAAACAATATTTATGAATCAAAAATATTAATTTTATCATTGATTTTTATTAGAACGCTAATTTTATAAATTTTAAGAACGAGCATGGAATTTTTTTTTCCTTTTTGGTTTTTTCTGTTTATTATAATAAAAAAAAAATTTCGAGCTAGTAGAGTCCTTGTTCTTAGCGCTCAAATTCCTTTTTCTTTTATACACTTATTCAATTTTAATATTTCACTTTTGCTTAAATTTAAAATAGTTTTATTTTAGTTTAAATAATTTATTTTGAAATTAAAATAAACTTATTTTGCTTATTATTTTGAAAATTTGTAAATATTTTTGTAGCTGTGGAAATTTCTCTTCCTCGATGTCGAATTCGATTCTGTCGATTGACAAAGTATAGTATTGCCATATTTTGTTCAATTTCAACTACATATTAATTGTCAACAAATTAAATAACCTAAATTTTGCGTCAACGAACGCTTGTTTTACTAATTATATTAATTATGAAAATAAAATTTTTAATTGCAAGTTTGTGTATTATATAAATTAGATTGAATATTTTAGGGTTTCGATTATTTCGAAAATAATTGCGCTTAAAAATTGATTGAAAAATTTTACAATGAAACAAAAAATTATGAATCATTAAAAAAAAAAAATTAAATTTTCATATTAAATATATAAAAGCTAAGGAACATGAAAAAATTTGAAAGATAAAGGAAATAATATTTTATAAAAAATAAAATATAATTTAAAAACTATCCAAAGAAATGTAAAATCCTTAATAATTTCACTCATGCACCTTTCCCAGAAAGGAAAGAACAAGAATTTAAAGAATTCGGGGATTTCAAAGAATTCAGAGAATCAGGTTAATTGTATTACTTACATTCTCGTTATTTTGTTAAATATAAAATGTAAATTTTCCTTAAAATTTTGGCCATTCACTTCTAATATTTCGAAGAAGAACACACGCCTTGCGAATAAATTATAGCTTCATAATTCACGATGAATTTATTGCGATTTGCAAAATAAAATTTTAAAGGTACTACTAAATGTCACTTACAATAGCTGACAGCTTTACAAAGAATATTTTGTAGTAGCCGGCTTAAATTTGTTTGTAAACTTTTACCAACAGAATAGCCGTCAAAATTATTAATAATATCAGAAAATTAGTTTTTGCGCCAGTGTTTAAGTATACATAATTTCAATTTATCTCAAATTATAATAAATAAAAAAAAATTTAAATAATGTCTGATGATGAAGATTTTAATAGCGAATCAGAAAATGATTTTTCTGCAAGTGAAGATGAATGGACGCCTGCTAAAAACAAAGAAGGTGAAATTAAACAAAAAAAGTCAAACATTCATAATTGTATACATATATACATTGTATTTCATAACTTATAATTATCTTTATTGTTAATACAGTTGAACATTCAGAAGATGAAGAGGATGTATCCAGTGGCGAATTAGATGAGGATTTTGCTGTATCTCCTCCGCCAAAAAAGAAAAGGTTCTTTTTAGTTAGAATAAATGTTTGTATATCGTTCAAAATTAAAATTGCGGTATTTTTAGGGAAACTACCAAAAGTGCTTCTAAAGGATTGCACAAAACCAAAAAGCTAATTTCAAAACTCAGAGTACCAACATTGCGTGATAAAATGTTTAAAAGATATAATCCTCCGCCAAAAACTATTGCTACAAGTATTACATCTGTGAAAAGTTCAAATTTAAATACAACCAAAGAAAATGATGGTAATGATTCAGATTCAGGGAGTAGTGTGGAAAATTTTTTGGTTGATCCAGAAAAACTTGATCTAAAATCAAGTTTTTTTGATGTAAAAAGTAACAAAGAAAAATCAGAGCAAGAGGATGATGAAGCTCCAAATTTTGATTGCAATTTGGGACTATCAACGAACATTTCTGATAATGAAGATGATATGGAAAGTATTAAAGAAGAAAGTGGAAATGAGAATAATGAGAAAAGTTGTGCAGATGCAAGCCCTTTTAAACAATTTTACGAGTATAAAAACGCAATTGATGAAGTCAAAAAGAACTCAAAATCAGGAAAATCTAATACTGTAGTTCACGATAAGAAAGATGATGTATCCTCACTTTTAGCACTTGGAGAAGCATCCACATCAAAAATTCAGGAAGAGAAAAAGTCAACAAAATCAAAACTGCCGAATAAAATAAAAAATTCAGATTCCGAGTGGGAAGAAGTTGAAGGTAAAAAAAAGAAATCTATTCTTAAGTAAACCTTTAACAAGTAGTTAGTAACAAAAAAAAAAAAATCATAGTACAAAATTTCAGTAAAACGAACTTTTTTACAATTTTTATGCAAAGAGTAATTTTTTATAAAAATATAAATCGAAACTTTATTCAAATAAAAGTACTAGTATTGGATTTCTAATCACAAATAGCAGTAATTTTTATTTTAATACATCAAAAATATATTTTTTTTCACAAATAAGATCAATAAAAGGGGCAAGTTTCGCTTTCGAAGTTTATTATTATGAGCATATTTTTAAACTTCGTGATTAGGTCTTGCAGTTTGGTGTTCTTCATAACATTTAAATTATATTTTTCAGAAGAAGAAAACGATGAAAATGCAAAATTAAATGATGGAATAGAAATTACAGTAGGATTCCCAGAAAATCATAGAAGAGAAAAAAGAACAACAGATGAACAAGCCCAACTAATGAGAAGATTAAATCGTATAATTAAAGAAAATTGTATGATTTTTCATAAAGTCAGTTTACTATGTAATATAGCACATGGAGTTTATTTAAATAGAGCGTTAAATAATACTGAGTTGATGGCACAAGCTTTAAAGTTACTTCCAAGTGAAAAATCCTATCCAAATGGAAGAACATGTATTAAATATTTTGAATCGATTTCTAAATGGTACAAGGCTGTAATGCAATTAAAAAGTGAAAATGTTTATTCAGATTTAAAAACTAAATCAGCAATTCCAGTATCGTTAGCATTACAAATTAAGTCAAAATCAGCGATTTGTAAAAAAGATTTTGTTTTAATTTTTATAGTTTTATTAAGGGCTATGGGAATTCAATGTCGATTGATAATGAATTTAGTTACATTACCAATTAAACCTGCTGCAGAAGATTTGTGCTCTTTGAAAACAAAAAAACCTGAAGGGAAAAAGGATAACCTTAAGAGTGTTAACAAAACAAAAACTGTTGATACAAAAAAAGTAAACAAAAAAATATCTATAGAGGAACCTAAAACTATAGAGAAAATAAAAGATAAAGTACTGGATTCAAAACCAAATGAGATTAAGAATTCAGTGGAAACTAGAGGCTCTTCCAAAACTACATTAAAAAAAGGGGCAAAAGTAGAAAAATTAAATGGAAGTGACTCATCTAAGCCAAAAATTAAAGTAACTGAAGCAGATAAGCAAGAAACTCCAGAAGAAAAACATGATTTTAGCCCAGTGAAAACAAGAACTCAAAGAAAAGCACAGACAGAATCAATGAAAACGAATAATATTGAACAAAATGAACCTTCAACAAGCAAAAAAGCAAAAAATTCAAATAAAAGTCGTTCGCCAAGTCCTAAATTTCATATTTCACCTCATTTTATTAAAACCGGAACTGAAAATTCAGAGACTTCTAAAAGTCAACGTTTAATTAAATCGAAAAAAAATAATGAGAAAACTAAATTAAACATTCAAAAGGATAACAAACGTAGTCCAAGTCCAAAAATTGTTATATCTTCATCATTCTTTCAAAAAAGCTCTTCAAATATAAAAGAAAACAGTTTCGAAAACAAAAGCCAGTCTCTAAAAGAAAAATTAAAAATTCCTCAATTAGACGGCGCCAATAGTTTGCCAAAGAAAAAAACCTTAAAAGAAAAAGTGTATGCAGATAATTCCGATACAGATACTGATTTTGAGACATCTCCCCCAAAAAAACCAAAACTTCAAAATAAATTATTATCAAGAGTTAAAGATCGCCGCGTTCTTTCAACTGATGATGAAGATGCAATCACAAATTCAAAAAAGAAATCTGGTATGAATATATGGGTAGAAGTGTATTCTGAAACCGAAGATCAATGGATATGCATTGATTTATTTAAAACAAAAATTCATTGTGTCGACAGTTTAAGGGTAAGATTTACATAAATTTTTTTTCACAAAAATACCTCGGAATTTGTAATTTAAATTAATAACTTATATTGTATATATTTAATTTTTATTTTTAGAGGGAAGCTACATCACCAGTCTCATATGTTTTTGCATGGAATAATGATAATTCATTAAAAGATGTATCACCCAGATATTGTCCACAATGGAATACGGTAACGCGTAAACAAAGAGTTGATAAGCAATGGCTTGATATCGCTATTCGTAAATATTTGGGTGTTAAAAATTCAAGAGATATTGCTGAAGATAGAGAATTAGAAAAAATACATATGGATAAACCACTGCCAACAACAATAAATGAGTAGGTTATAATTATCTTTTACAGTACCGAATTTGAATAAATGTTTTTTACTTTATTCTAAATTTCAGATTTAAAAATCATCCTTTATATGCTCTCGAAAGACACTTACTAAAATTTGAAGGAATTTATCCTCCAAATGCTCCAACTTTGGGTTTTATTAGAGGCGAACCAATATATCCAAGAGATTGCGTTCATTTATTACATTCTAGGGAAATATGGCTTAAGGCTGCTAAAGTTGTTAAGCCTGGCGAAAAACCGTACAAAATTGTTAAAGCTCGACCTAAGTGGGATAAAGTAAGTACTTGCTTCCAATTATGTATATAATTTTGAAAAATGTAAATTTTTGGAAAATATACATTTTATTTTAAAAGATGACGTCCAGTGTGATTAAAGATCAGCCACTTGAAATATTTGGATATTGGCAGACACAAGATTATGAACCTCCAACCGCAGAAAACGGAATTGTTCCACGGAATGCGTATGGTAATGTGGAACTATTTAAACCCACTATGTTACCTAAAAAAACTGTACATTTACAATGTAAGTTCAAAAATATATGTAATTTTAAATTGCTCATATTGTCTAAAAATTTTAAAAATGTACTACATTATATTGTGTATTAAATTTTTAGTGCCAGGTTTAAGTAGAATTTGCAAAAAATTAAGAATTGATTGTGCGCCAGCTGTTATTGGTTTTGATTTCCATCAAGGATCTTGTCATCCACTCCTGGATGGATTCGTTGTATGTGAAGAATTCAAAGATCAAGTAGTTCAGGCTTGGGAAGAAGATCAAGAAGAACATGCACGTAAAGAACTAGAAAAGTATGAAAGTAGAGTTTATGGGAATTGGAAGCGGTTAATAAAAGGATTATTGATAAGGGAAAAATTAAAAATCAAATATAATTTTGGAGATATGGCATCGATTGAAAAAACTACTTCAAAACGCAAAAAGTAAAATATTTGTCTATTTAATATTACTGAAATTTTTGTAAAATGTAAGTTAGTTAAGAGTATAAATTATAAGTTCTCGAAAAATCTTGTGTTACAACTTTTGTTACTAAATGTTTTGTTAAAATTAACCGGCATGTACATATTTATATTACAACTATTATTTATAAAAAGATGTTGATACTATTTTCTGTTAAGTTCATGTAAGATTTTTATAACGTTTTTTTTTTTTGTAAACGTAAAAATTCATGTATCTCGAAATTTTCCGAAACAAACTTGAAATTCAAATATAAAAAAGTAAAAATAAAATAAAATTATTTAAACAAGACATTATTTCTTTATTTTATTGAAATGCATCAATAATACTAATTAACCGTTTGCATTATATCATATCTTACAAATTTATTCATCTGGAATGCTTCATCCTCTCTATAGTCAGAATCGACAACAAAAACTTGAACAAAATCATCAAATTTGTAAGGTTTCTTAAGAATTGTATTCGATAATATTAAGTTACTTATATTAATTAAACCTAATTTGGCTGGCAAAACTGTCAATGGAAAATCTTTATATTTTCCAGCATCAATTTGGCCAATATTAAATTCAGCTGAACCGGTATAATCACATCCAAATCGTGTTTTTGTATCTAATTTAGCGCTTAAATCCATTGGCCGTTCTGTTGTATTGCTAACACGACAAATAAATGTAAATGGTTCTCCTATTTTTACAATATTCTTAGCTTCAACCACTTTCAATCTCAAATCAGAATATTCAATTGGCTAAAATAAAATTCCATTAAGTAAAAATTTAAAATGTTAAATTATATAAAATTTACATTTCTCTGTAGTTGGCTGGTTTGTAGACGACCTCTTTCGCCAAGGTTCGATCGCCAAACAATGTCAAGTTTTCCTATTATGTTTGCAACTCGAAGTGCCGCCATGTCCTTAGCAATTTCTGGTATAGGCTTTATTTTAAATATAAAACATTAACTTTTTATAATAAGAATTAAAAGAAAGTTAATTTACTTTGATACAATATAAAAATTGACAACTATTTTCTGGTTGCAACATATTTTTTGCTGTAAAAACTGACTCGCCATTAGGAAGTGTATTCAAAGATGTTACTAAAATTAAAATAATTTTATAATCTAATACTATTTTTTACTTTTAGTTATAATACCTGTGTATTGTTCTGAACTATCCAATTCAACTTTTTCTAAACAAATAGGACCAGAAGTTTTATTTTGAATCTACAAATATATTATTACTTAAATATAAACTTAATAAATTTATTACTTAAATATAATAAAAAATTAAACGAAAATTAAAAAACCTGAGCTTCAAGGTAGATCTCATCAGTTTCAGCATTATAAAACTTTGTTTTTACATCTAATGGTTTTAAAACTTGAAATTTGAAAAATTTTCTAAACGATTGAGCAAAACCAGCTGGTGTCATATAATTAACTTCACAAACTAATCTAAAAAAATAAATAAGAGTTAAATCTTAAAAAATAAATTACAACTAAATTTGTTTATCAATACATGTGTGTCCCAATTTCTTTGACTTCATAATGAATCACATCATCAAGAGTTTGTTCTGTATTTAAAGTTACCGGAGTATTTTGTTTCTCATTTAATGGTAAACTTATTCTAGTGGTATTAGATTGAAGATCAGCTTTGACTGTAACTCCATCAACTGGATGATTAGCACAATTATGAACACAAATATAACTTGAAAACGTTTCGCCCAAATAGATACTGCCAAAACTTTGTGGCAATAACATAAATTGTCCAGCTGCTAAAGTTTCTGCTCCTGAAACAGATGTTACATCATTTTGAAGTATTTGTTGAAATATTCCTTGGGGAAGATCTTTATTTTCAGATGTTATTATTTGTGGACTCACTAAAGTAGGTTGCGTCAGCCTCATAACTAAATAACGAAAATTAAAGAATTATAACGTACATAAAAAAATATAAAATATAATTTCTTTTACCTTTGAGTGCTAACAGATGTTCTGTCGTTTCCATTACATTCATTTTAAAATGGCAATTTTAATTATTTCCAATATTTTATTAAAATTTCTTATGAGAACAATAATGTCATCGCACAAAAATGACAGAACAAAATATAAAAACAGGTGTTTTTGAATTTTGAAATGAGATGCCTAATCTACTAATATTTGAGCAGGACATTTTTGTGAAAACTGACATATACAATGAGACATCTGATGGTAGATTAGTGAAACTGTGGAGAACTTCATGATATAATAAATAAACATATTGTACAAATTTGTTTTCATATAAATCTTGTCTGTTATACATACTTACGCAAGATAACATTTTAAATTCTAAACTTTATATTACTACAGAAAAAGACCTTATCCTTAATTTTCTCCAATTCCACTTTAAATATTTCAAAAATTAATTGAGTTAAATCCATGAAATTCGGTTCGAAAACGTTCAACTATACATACAGTTTAATTTAAAGTTGCATATTGTAAAATTGCATCATCTGTTGGTTGCAATATTAAAAATAAACATATTTTCATAAGTACAACTTTCAAAACAGTTTATTATACGGTATAATTAGGTAAAATATGAGAGAGTGCAGGGTCCTCACCCGAATGAGTAGAGTGGTACTGGGAAACAACGTTCTAACTCCGGCAGAGCTGCAGTCTGCCGAGCCTTTAAAGTTTCTCGAATTCACCAGGAAGATGGGTCTCGAGAGGGTGTTGTAAGGTTTTTTTCCACACCTACTTCGGGGTTACAATAGATTTATATATCTTCTGGTCACGATGCACTTTTACCTCTTCATTGAAATCCACGATCTAGGGTAGAAATGAGTCATTTGATTTTGATTGAAATATTTTTACTTATTTAGAATTTTAAATAGTCCCTCTTGATTTTTAAAATATAAAAATTTATATAGTGTTTCTTAGGTTCTATTTATTGTTATTTAATTTTAATAAACTTTAATGCATCAAACTTTATTGAACTTATATTATGTTCGGCGAAGCGAATGACTAGGCGAATCGTGTGGACTAGGTGAATGATATTTTAAATTATGATCGGCGAATTATTTCATTCCTACCGAAAATAATATTTTTTACAATAATTTGTAGAATTTTATTAACTAACCTTACAGATAGATTTTTCCATTATATCACTGTAAATGCTATAATATCCATTAAAAAAAAAAGCACTTACGTATTAATTTGATTTTTGGTTTCATTCGCCAAGCTTGTCACACAGAATTTTCATTCGACAGATTTGACAGCGCCTTAAATTTCATTCGCCGAATTCGCTAATCACAATACCAAAAATTCATATTCGGCAAAAATTTCATTCGTTTCGCCAACCATAATAAGGGTCTAAATTTTAAATTAAAACTCAAATTAATATTTTTTTTTTTATTTCTCTTTTTATTTATTTTTTTTTTTTCGTTTTTAAATTAAAGTTTTATTTTTAATGAAGTATTTCTAAAATTTCTTTATATAATTTTTTTTTTTGTTTGTTTTTTGTTTGGTTTTGTTTTAATAATAAACATATTTTTTTTTCTTTTTTTTGTTTAATATATATTTATGTATTTTATATAATTTTTCTTTCTGAAAAAAAAAAGAAAAAAAAATAAACTTAAAAAAAATCACATTTATTTTTAAATTTCACATATTCCTTTAAAATTACATATGTTATCAATTAATTAATTAATTAATTTATTTATTTTTTTTTGTGTTTGTTTTATAATTCTTATGCAAATTGATTTTATCAATAATTAATAAAAATTTTTTTCACTTACATATTTGGATTTTTTTTTTTTAATAATTTTAATTTTTAATTTTTTTTTTTTTATTTCTATTAATTTTGCTATTTATCATTAAAACGATTTTTCCCTTAATAACTTTTTTTATGTTTCCTCTTTTAATAATATATATATATATATATATATATATATAATTAATAAAAATATTTTTATCTTCTAAATAATTATTCAATTTATGAATATTTTTGAGTTTTTTTTTATTGTTTTTTTTCTCTTTATTTTTTAAACTTAAAACTAAATTTGTTTATATACGTTTAAAATATAAATTGTAAAAAAAGAAAATAATTGTGAAGTAATAAATAATTAATATTTTTTATAATTTTCAATTTTTAATTAAAAATAAACTATAGATGAAAAGGTGTACAATTAAATTGAGCACAGAAATACTGGGTCTGGACCCCATTGGGCCAAACACTTTTATTGTTACTTTTGATTTTTAAAAAAGTATTTTTTGTTTTATAATAGAGTTTCTCTGGCTTCCATATTGTTAAAAAAAAACCAAACCTTTTTAGTGCAATATTTCACGTTCTATATTTAAAAGCTTTCAAAGATGTAGTAAGTTCCAAATTGTTTAGAAATTGTTTTGAATACGCAGAAAAAAGCAGAGACCTCATTAGAAAAATTTTCCGATGATGTTTATAAATTTTGCTGTCTCTGAATGTAAAATTTATTAAAATTTTTCTGTTTTTTAAATATTTTAACATTGTATAGGCAATCTAATAAAAAAGCTTGAAAGCTCAACGGCGGTTTAGAAACGGTTTTCAAAACTCTTTTTTTTTTTTGTTTCCTTTACAATATGGAAGTTACCTTTTGTATTAGTGTTTTTATATTTGGTGCAACAGAAACTTTGTAAATTTTTTGATTAATTGATTAAAAAAAAGTAAAATAAGTGATTGGTGCTCTTCAATGGAGTTTAAGGTCTAATAGAATTTTATTGGAGTAACAAGAAAATATTTATTATTTACAGAATAATTAAATATTTTTTGTTTTAAAAAAAAACGTTGAAGGAAAATGTACAATTGAAACGTAAGCAAAACAAAAAAAAAAAAACCATTTTCAATTAATAATTATGAAAATTTTGCGATTCTGATGCAACATAGCCCCTACCACTCCTTTTCGACCCAGTATTTACCAAAACATTACATATTATATTAAAGTTAATAATTTAGAAAACTAAATTAATTATTTATTACTTGCAATTATTTTTCTAATCAAATTTTTTTTAATATAATGACAAGTTTTTGAATTTTTATTTTTTTTAAATTGGTTTCTTTTTTCATTTTCTTTTGATTTGAATAACCTGAGTTTAGCATTTTTAATTAATATTTTTAATTATAATCATTTATTTTATGTTTTTTTTTTTTTGTTTTTTAATTAATAATTAATTTTTTTTTTCTGTTTTTGCGAAAATTATTATATTATTTTACAATATTAATTCAAGTATTTTATATATTTATATATATAAAGGTTTAAGAAAATTCAATTATATTATATTTAATAATATGAGATTAATTAAAAAACAAAAATAAAATGAAATAAATCAAGAATATTAAATAAAAATTTAAAAAAAAAAATAAAGATATTAATAATTATAATAATTTTATATTAATGCTCATGTGCTTGGCTTTTCTGTTTTCTTATTATTTTTTGTAAATAAAATTATGAATGAATAATAATTATAATATTATTAATTTATTTATAGTATATTATATTTTTGATATAATTAAATTTTCAATTTAAATAATTAAATGAAAAGGAAGAATATTAATCAGACTTTTAAATTTTTGTTTTAAATTAATTTTTAAAAAATTTAAAATTTTAATTATAAAAATAATTAAAATTGAGTGCAGAACTCATAGCTCTATATACCACTTATTCTTTATTAGACCAAATACCACTTGAAATTATTAAAAAAATATAAAATTTAGAATTGTTTTTATTCAGAAAATTATATATTTTTTTTTAAAAACATATCCAATTGCCTTAAGTTATACATTAATTAAAGAATGTTGTAAAAGAATAAACAGTGAGGCTTAAAATTCATAATACACGAAATTATTTCTTTACAATTTTAACATTTATTACAAATTTAACATAACATAAAAATGTTTTAATTGTAAATAAAAATAAATTTTAAATTAATATACATTAATATTGTATTTATATTTCAGAATATTATGAATTGTTAATTTAATTTTTTATTTTTCAAAATAAAATATTATTATAAATAATTAATATTGTAAATTGCAAATAATGAAAAGAGAAATAATTTTAAAAATTATTTTATAAAATTACAGTATTAAAAATGAATGGGTGTGACTGGTAAATCTTATACTACTATATTATTTGACGGAATGTAACATTATACTTTTTTCAAATATGTATATATAATAGTTATTATTGTAATAATTTATTAGTGCATTAGCTATTTATATAGAATTCTTGATATTAACAATATAAGCTTTTATCTTTAAATTTGTACAAAATAAAATAAAAAAACAATTAATGTTTTTGAAAAAAAAATTGTATGTAAATTTGAAAAAAAAAAATTGTACGACAATTTTAATATCATTGCTAAAATCAGAATTTATTTCAAAATTATTTTAAATTAAATTTATATAAATTAGAAATAAATCTAAGAAGTAGTTTTTAAAAATTATTTTATAAAATTAAATTTAATAGATTATTTAAAAATTTAAATGTTTTAATTAATGTTGTGATGTTACGAGAATTACTTTTTTTTTTAATAAATTATAATATGAGCCATTCGTTTACAATTTATTAATTAAATTTATTAATATTTAAGTTTTTGTTTTTTAGAATATATGCGTATAGTTTTTTATATTCTTCTACAAATTTTTTTTTTTTATTTTTATGAAATAGTAAAAAAAGTGAGCAAATAGATTTTTTTTTTGTTTTGTTTTAGAAATAGAAAAAATTTTTATTAACGCAAAAAATGCATTTAAAATACAGTCATTTTTAAATATTTAATTTATGGTTGTTGTTGTTGGGTAAATTAGCACACAATTTTTAATTTAATTGATATTACATGGTATTATTATTATTATAATTTTTAAATAAAAAATATTTTAGAAAATCCAATGAATGATTGTTAATATATTCAAAATATTTCATTTTTAAATATTCATTATTATATGAAAATTTAATGTTAAAACCAAATATCTTCAAAAGTCTTAAAAGAATTAAATAATATTATTTAAATAAAATTAATTTAGTTAAAGTTTTGTTTTAATATTATTTTTAAGAATATTATTTGAAAATAATTTCTTTGATTCGGTTTT